AAATTTCTAGTTACGTAATAAAATATAGCGAGGGTAGGCAAACTTTTTGCTTTGAGGGCCGCATTGAGAAATGTTTTAACTTTGAGAGGCCTCATATGTATATGTATTTAAATAGCAATTTTTTTCGACCAGGGGGAGAATTTTTTAAGATTTTTTTAAGAGGTGTGCCTTCTATTTATTTTGTTATAAAATCTTTTGCAGCCCTATACAAATGTGTTTTTTGTTTGTGTGAAATTATTTCAAAAGATGAAAACAAACATGACCCAGATTGTTGTAAATATTGGTATGACAATGACCAAGCTATCGAGAAGACTCACGAAGCTCGTACAAACTGGCGCTATATAGAATCACATGGGAAAAAATCACAAGAATAACCGTTAAATATTCACATTAAACAGACAAAGAATTAACATTGTAGAGACACAGTTTATAAGTACTTGAGCATTTGGCCACACACACAACGTATCAATTCGAATACCGAAGATGGTACAGGAATACCGAAAAATGATTTTTGTTCTATCATGCCTAAATGTTCTATCACGCTTAAAATAAATCATAATACAAAATTTTTTTTAGAAATATTAAAAAGCTCAATCGTAAACTTTCAAAAACGAAAAATTCTGTAGATTTTATCAGATATTGCTATGGTTTCCTTCCAGCCTTATATATATATACATATATATACACATTCATACCCACAAACATACGATTATCACCTTCTAATGACTTCTAATGAATTTTCATTTTGAAATAGTTTGAACTTAAAAAATTGAAAATAATATTTGGATGAATAATTTGGTACCGTGAGATGTGCGTGCTGAAATACATAATTAAGTTTTTTTTTCTTTGATATGGTTGTCAAATTTTTAGGACATGAAGCAAATACTATTTTTTGTTTTTCGTTTGTAAGTGCTTTTTAATTTGTTTTTTTTGCTCAGCTCAGATATCTTTTAAATAATTTTTTTTAATGGTGTCAATATTTTACATGTCTATTTCGAAATGTTATATTGTGTTTTTCTAAAGTAACTTAATGTTATATTGTGTTATTCTACGTTATATTGCGTTATATTGTGCTGTATTGCGTCATATTGTGTTATATCATGGTATGTTGTATAAAATTATTTAGTTTTATTACATTCATTGTTGATTTTATTTCTGGAGCCATCGACCCCCTTAAGGAGTCAATACAGCGTTAAAACAATTTTACATCCAAACATCCACCAAGGGTAGCGTTATTTCGACTTGCTTATTGCTGTTTTAGTTTCTGATGTCTTGTTGATTTTGTGGGAGTTTTTTTTTGGTTTACAAGATGATGAAAAAATGTTTTTTTTTTGTTGTTGTTGGTGGTGATTTTGTTTTTTATTGTAAATTGTTTTGATGTTGTGGTTTTTGTTGTTTTATTTGTTTATTCTTTCGTTAGAAAAATACTTTTTTTTAAATCTATCTAAAAATTATTTAAATGCAATTTTGTGTCCTTATTTGTGCCTAAATCTATAATTCAACATTGACCAGCAAGAAACAACAATACAGAAAGTTACGGCACATCAGCCAGCAAATTCTTGTGATCACTACAACATACGTGCTATATAAACACGACACGATGAAATTTCATCTCTAAATCAACTTAACTTTGAACAAAAATTGTGTCTAAAAAAAGTTCAAGCAAATATTTGCATAGGAAATTCAACGAATTTTGAAAAAATATATAAAACACTATTGTTATATCTTTATATAAACTCGTTAATAACGACAAGTTAAATAATCAGTTGTATGCCTGTCAGAACTGCGTATTAAAAAACGAAGGTGACAAACTTGAATTCAGCGCGGAGAACCTGTGAGCCACCATCAACATCATCAGGACAACAATGTTTATCTTCATCTTGTCGTTCATTTCTTCGAGACTTTTGTTCTGAATGCGATCATATGGTATTGCTCTGTTTTATAATTGTGTATTAGTGATAATGATATATTAAATTGTGTATTAGTGATAATGATACATTAAATTGTGTATTAGTGATAATGATACATTAAATTGTGTATTAGTGATAATGATACATTAAAAAATATGTTAAAGATACATTTATTGGCAAAAAATATAAGAACGTTCTTTAAAAGTTTGTTAGTTAAAGTTAAAGAGAAAGAGAGAGGGGTGGTGAAAAAGGAGAGAGAAAGAGATAATAATATGAGTGAATTTAGTTGACGATAGTCATAATAATTTTAGCGCAACCAACAATTTAAATAATGATGGGGATAACAAATAAAATTAAAAAAAATCGAAGATTACAAAATCGTGGTATGGGTGAATTTTGCTGCATTATTCGCCATATTATTTTGTTAGGTCAACATTGAATTTCATTCAATTTTTTGATTGTGTGGTTTTTATTGTAGTATTAATGTCATTTTTATAGCACCATGCCAGGCAATTAAGCAACATTATTATTACTTATTACTAAAACAAACATACAATTTATAAATACATGTGGATCTAAGCGTCACACATATTTGCATATGATAAGCGAGGGTATCTTTACATTCGAACTCGGACACTGCATCAACTTAACCAGGCACTTTAACCATTACACCATCTCGTCACCCTTCGGTGTATCAATGTTTTTGTAACAGTTGAGATTTGTTTATTTTATGTGGTTTCGGTTTCAGCTGTTGTTGACGTAAGCACGAAATCTGAATCATCAGGGAATATTTTTCTGCTGTTAAATTTGAAATGACATTGAAGTCGGCGTTTCAACTTATTTTTATGCTAATATCAAATTTAAAATTTGTTCATTCGCTTTTTGTTTGTCCAAATTCATGTTTTTATGGGGTGTCAAAAGAACGATAAATGAATGAAAAATAAACAAACGAACAAACGAACGAATGAATGAACGAATGAACGAACGAACGAAAGAACATACGAACGAAAGAACGAATGAATTAATGAGTTGACAAACAAAAGATTGAATGAACGAATGAATGATCAAATAAATAAATGAATAATTGAACAAAAGATTGCCAAACAACGAAGTAATAAATGAACAAATAAAAAGAATGAACATACAAATAATTGGATGTATAGTTCGGTTTTAAAATATTGAAAGGCTACGAACTGACTAACGGTAGAAATTAATTTATATTTTTGCTGCTGGCAGGTCTTGTTTAGTGGTTGGATATCAGAGTTGTTGCAGCCGCTATTTTAGCAGGCGTGGTTGTTGTAAACATTCTACTCGTTCTTGTTGTGTTGTCGTTGTTTTTTGTTCTTTTACCAAGTGTTTTCGTTGAAAAAATTCTTTCGATGATAACTGTGTGTGTTGTTTTTTTCATCTACCGTTGTCTTTATTCATTGATGTTGTTGTGGTCACAATGCTTTTATGTTGTTTTTTGCTACTTCTACGACCTTTACTATTACTATTACTACAACTACAGTTGCTGTTGTTACTACTACTACTACTACCTCTAGTATTTTTACTAATGTCGTTGCTGCTTCTGTTGTTGCTGACTTGCCTTGTTGCTGATGTTTGGGTTGTTGATAGTATACTACTATTTAATATTAATACTCTCTCTGATACTTCTATCAGTAGTAATCTCATTACTAAATGATGCCAGGCAGAGGTGGTTATGTATGCGCGGATAATTTTGTTTGTCAGTATTTTAATTCAATTTGGTGACAATGCAATGCGATACTGCTTCATATGTGTGTGTATGTGTGTGTATGAGTGTGTGTGTGTGTGTGCTGCATTTGATACAGCCATGCGATTTGTTTAAGTGTTTGTTAGTGTTTTGTTGTTGGTGCAGTTGTTGTTGTTGTTGTTGTTGTTGTTGTTGTTGTTGTTGTTGTTGTTGTTGTTGTTGTTGTTATGAAGTTGATGTTACTTCGTTGTTGTTTTGGAGAGTAGTGTTGCCGTAGTAGTTGTTGATGTCGTTGGCTAACTTGGTGTCAATGTCATTAATGTTCTTGAGTTTTTTAAACGTTTAAGATGTCGTTATGTTTGGCAGTTTTAAGAATGATGTTCTTTTTAACTGAGTTCAGTTGGCTAACATTATATTACTCTGGTTATATGACTGCGTCCAACTGTTTTTAAAATTATCCCTGGTTTTATTAGATACATGTGTTGTTATTACAATGATGTTGTTGCAATTATCAAAGGCTTCATTTATCATACAATCAAAATAATAACAACCCATGTTTACACTGATTTTGTTGATGTTAATAAACGATTTTTTTTTAATTTTTCAAAAAAATGTTGAATCTTCATCATCGTTGTTGTTGCTTTGTTGAAACTGATGTAGAAATTGATTATGTTGGGATAATTGCTGTTTATCTATGCAAGTTTTTACCAAAGAATTTTTAATTTAAACATTGGTACAGTTTAAAAAATCAAAATTTTCAATAATCTTCCCCGATATTCTTTTGCCGACTCCAATTTCTTTCAAACGCTTGGTTTCTCGCCAGTATTTAAATTTTTCCAGCTGAATAATCAATCCATGAAGTTGGTTATATTTTTTAATTTATTTGGTAAATTTTTAATTTTATTTTATCAAAATTGTTTTGAAGTAAAAGTAAATGATTTTTTCATTTGTTTATCCATTACGAACTTGTGATAATAACATCAAATAGATTAATAAAGACTATGGTTATATACACGAGTTATGAAGAGCTATTTCAGATTCCTTTTAGATGTAATCTTACTTTATAAATCCTGCTTGACAAGTAAAATACTTTGTAACTTTTAAAATAGTTTAAATTGTAATCAAGTTTATTCACACAAGTATGGATTGTTTCACTAATACATTTAATTGAGTATAAATAAGCTTATATGGTAGAACGTAGCACAACTAAGGAAACTCTACTCAATCCTCTTGGAATAAATATACAATTTTTGGTCAATAACTTCATAAGAAAATACATTTAAACAACAACCAAATAATTTAGTTAATATTAATAATATTTAATTATTAATTAATTAAAACAATCAACAATTATGTAAATCAGGGTGGGGGAAGAAATGGGCAAAAAAAATTTTGCAAAAAATTCAAATAATTCAACGCGTGGTGCTGTATTTCGTCCAAATGGCCAACTAACTGAGACCACATCTGCATCTGTATGTGATATATTTACTACGCGCGAGTATAAAATGTACATACAGAATGCGTATGTTTATATATCTATATATATTTATATATGTGAGTGTGTGTGTGTGTTTGTGTGTGGTTTGCTTGTGTGTGTGTGTGTGTTGTGCGTGTGAGAAAGAGAGAGAGAGAGAGAGAGAGAGAAATGTGTATTGTTAATGTGTTTATTTTTGACAACGCGATCATAAAAGTTGTATATGGAGACATTCTGCTATGGCTGGGTTATCATAATAATGATGATGGGGATGATGATGAGGAGGACGATGATGATGATGATGACAAAGATGATGGTGTCGGTGATGATAACCATGACTACGACGATGATGACGATGGCGATGATGACGACTATTAAACTTTAACAGCTGAAACTTTTTTCTGACCCGACACCATTCACATCCATCGCTCCGTCCATAGCATTTCACATTTTTACATTTATTTTTTAAATATTTTTTAGTTAGCTTACTATAAAAAACAGATTAAATACATTAGGAAAAAAATTATTACACTCTTCTTAAGTTCAGAAAATATCAACAACACGCAAATATCGTCTAAAATTACGTTCTAAATGATTCATCACACACGAAGGAGCCTTCTGTCGCATACGAACCCGGTAACTGCGAAGCAACAGCAGGCAACTTTAACCTCTAGGCCATCATATCGCCCGTAGTATACTGCAAACGAACAAAACTTTATTAAAAATGTCTTTGAATTCATCGAAACGAAATGGAAGAAAACGAGGAAAATGCTTATTTAGCAACAAAAACTCCATGCAAAAATCTTTCATAAGGCTGACAAAAGTAAAATTTTTAAAAATTTATCAAATCTGAATACCCGATAGATATTCTTAGATATTCATGTTGAGGTAAGTTGTAACTGGTAAGAAGAGTTTTTTGATGTCTTTGGCCAGTGAATAAATATTTAATAAAAATTTTAATCATGTTCATTTTTTTCAAAACGTAGAAACAAAATAAGTAACGCTCAATATTTTCACTCTTTTTGGTTGAAATCTCTAAATGTCATTCACATGTCAACCTACATGGAGTTGTTTTTTCTTTAAGTTGTTGACAAGATGAAAAATATATTCAATGAAAATAGAAAAAAAAAACAAAAAAAAAGTGATAAAAATATCAACAACAAAAAAAATAAAATAAGATCGTAAATTTATTTCAGTGCATGTTAAAACTGCCAAAATTAAATTGATCAAGCTCGTCACCTCATTCATCATCGTCTCATCATCATCATCTCATTTCACCATCATCATTTCATTCTATATCATGATACTATCATTTTAATTTGTTCGATAATATCATCATTCCATTCTATACCGATACAATGCCTCTCAGTTTTCCTTCTCTTATATCATATCACCCATAATCACTATATTATTAACCGTCCTATATCATTTCATTCCACTATCTTAACTATCTCATTCTATGCTATCATATCCTCATCTTATCAGATCATCATTTCACGAATAAGACATCTTTGTGTTATGCGATTTATACTGTCAAAAATTTTATTGACTATTCTGTATGTAATAATGTACGTAAGTGTACGGAGCAGAAAAACAGACAGACAGACAAACTGACTGACAGGCAAGCAGACATTCATTCATTTATTCATCTTCGCCATTGCTTCTTGACACCTTGCCGTACAAAAATGTTATCATTCAAATTCAAATAAAAATAATTTTTTCAAATATTTTCAATATCGGCCTCCTTATTCAGGCTAAAAGTGCATTTAAGAATAAAATAAAGATGGGTTGATGGATGAGATAAGCCCAATTTCGTGACGTCAGGCGGGGCGGAGTTTTGATGACTATTTCCTTCCGGTTGTTAACGTATTAGTTTAATTTCTATGTTTATTATTCTGATTATGATTATTAGGGAACTTATATAGCGCTCTATAATATTATTCAAAGGCGATATTACTCAAAGGCGAAAGTGTGTGCGTGTGTGTGTGTTATTGTGTTTGTGTGTGTTTGTGTGTGTATGTGTGTGTGTGTGTGTGTGTGTGTGTGTGTGTGTGTGTGTGTGTGTGTGTGTGTGTGTGTGTGTGTGTGTGTGTGTGTGTGTGTGTGTGTGTGTGTGTGTGTGTGTGTGTGTGAAACCA